CTTTTGCTCCTCTGTCACATTCCCACTAAGTGGCACCCATGTAACCCAAATTGATTTGCAGAGTGGGAGAACAGACATTCGCACTCTGACTTGAGCAAGAAAGAGAGAGAGTAGAGGGGGGCGTTCTGCTTACCTTGAGCACTAAGATGCTTCCTCTAGTTTGCTGCTGTACATTCTTACAAGTGAAAAGAAATTCGACAGTTGAGGAGCAGGTGTGGAGAATTGTTCCATTTCTTAGAACATTTAACAACTGCAATAGTTTATGTACTTATTTTCCAACTTGATTCCAAGGTCAGCTGACACTGAATTCAGAGGCAATTACAGTAAATCAAATGGTAGAAGTTCCCTACAGGGTTGTTTCAAGATACCTTTGCATCATGGCTCTTCTCTCCCCCTGCCTTTCCCCTTTCCTTTCTAACCCTAGAGCTCACACATCCAGCAGCTGCTTTCTTTTTGACAATTCGTCACTCCTGAAAAATGTTTGCAAGCACTTTGGATAATTTCCAATTCATTCTTGCAGGAAATGAGGATTTGCTTCCTCACTTGGGATACCTGCTGCTAGGTTTATTCACTAATAAGCATGATAAATGTTTTAGCCTTTGATCAGTGCTAATTTAACAAGTAAGATCCACAGAAAAAAAAAGTCTTTGAGGCTCAGGGGCTCAAGACGGTGCATGAGTTTGAAATATGATTGATTGTGTTGCTGTGAGAAATTTCCATAAAAAGAATCTTTTATCGTACTGCTGTATTTCGAACAATTAAATCAAAAGTGAAAGATGCCTACTTTCCAACGAAGAGAGAGACAAAAATGGGACTTCATATGACTTTGCTTCAAAGTTACACAGGTTAATTTTCCAGGGACATTTTCAATCTTCTCTTTAATTAATAGGTAGGTTTTTTTGACCCCTGCTAGCCATTTCCCCCCTTTCACTCACACTGCCCTTGGTTTTGTCACAAAGGTTTTTTTTTTAAAAAAAAAAATTAATGCTAAATAATACTATTCTCCAGAGCACAATAAGAGAACACAAAGGCAAATGTTTTTTGCAAAACAGGACAATACCCCCCAAAAAACAAGTAAGCCAGCAATAATATCCAACATTTGTCTTGACTGTTTCCTGAAACTCAAATATCAGAAACACAAAATTATGATATAAAAAACATTTGTGATTTAGGAATGAGCAAAAATGCCCTCCACAATGTTATCTTGTAAGCAGCAAAATTGGAGTGGGGCATTTTGCCGAAAATCTTTGGGCTCATTTATTTATCTATCCAAGTATTTGTATAAGCAAAAGTCCACAAAGTGTTTTCCAAAAAACCCAGCAACAAAATTATATGGATAAAAATCTAAAAAAATTAAATGAGAAATGTTAAAATAGAATAAATATAAAAATATATAGAACAGCTAAGCAGATCCACCATCAATTATATATTTGAATGGCTTTGTCTGGAGGTTGGTGCTTTCCACCTGTTGCGGATGGCATTCTGCAACCTTCTAGGGCATGGGTAGGCAAACTAAGGCCCGGGGGCCAGATCTGGCCCAATCGCCTTCTAAATCCGGCCCACGGACGGCCAGGGAATCAGCGTGTTTTTATATGAGTAGAATGTGCACTTTTATTTAAAATGCATTTGTGGGGCATAGGAATCTGTTCGTTCCCCCCCAAAATATATATATATAGTCCAGCCCCCCGCAAGGTCCGAGGGACAGTGGACTGACCCCCTGCTGAAAAAGTTTGCTGACCCCTGTTCTAGGGGGTATCTATCTGGATATCCCCACCAAGAATATCAGAATTGTAGAGTCAGAAGGGACTTCAAGGGTCATTTACTCCAACCCCCTGCAATGCAGGAACCTCAGCTAGAGCATCCATGACAGATGTTGCTTCTTCCACCTTCTGGGGAAAGAATTTGTCAGACCTTACATTCTTGGTTTGCATTCCAACCTATATTGGGGAAGTAGAAGTCTCCCATGACTACTATATGTCTCCTTTTTGAATGTGTGGTAATCTGCTCTAGGAAGGCATCATCCAAATCTTCAGTATAGCTTGACAGTCTATAGCAGACCCCCACAGTAAAGTCACTGTTGTTTCTCTCTCCTACACTTTTTACCCATATACTCTCAATCTGCTTTCCATGCTCATTTGGTTCACGCGATTCATTTCCATGGAGGTAGATTTACATGAGGATGAGGATGGTATTTGCAACCAAGCTCATGGAGCTGTGGGTTAGTTGACAATGCTTCAACCTCTGCGGCAATAGCTGTCTTTTCCGTGTAGTGCTGAATGTGTACAGAACTTCCTGAAAGTTGTACATATTCAGGAACAAAAGCATGTAAATAGGCAGTTTCCGCACACTACATGTATCTTTTCAAACTGGGCACTTAGGGAAGTATTATAACTGCTTTCATGCTTGGTTGTGCAAGATGTTCAAGATGTACTGTCACTTCGTCTACCAGAATCTGCTAGAGGCACAGAGCAATGAGTAATTCCTGAAGTGTCTACTTACTGATTTCTTCTCTGACTTGACATAAGATGCAGCAGAATTGTGGTTAGGGCCAGAAAATAGATGTCATCCTTGATATCTGTTTCCCGCAGTGTATATTATGAATAAATGCATATATGACTCATATACATTTCCTGAAGTTGAAAGTTACTATTCAATCTGAACTTCAAAGGATTGCAGAGGATTCAAACCACCAAGACTGGTGAATACTGAGGTTGTAGCGCTTGTTTTGCTTTTAATTCAAATTTCAAAGTGTAATATGATTATGTTATCACATCTATGTCACTCTTTGGTCTACAAAATGCTTTGTATTTCTTATCTAATTTATCCTCACTGGGACTCTGTGATGAAGGTTCAGGCTCTTACCTGAAGAAGAGGTAGGTCTGTGATTCTTTAAAGAGCTGCATGCTAACTTTCTAGCTGCTGGGACTCAACCACAGGCAGAAGCTTACATTGCATCAGAAGCTGGGAACTAGGGACTGGGAGATCAACCAGCACTCAGACCTGAAAACAAAGCACAAACCTGGATCGAAGGTCAACGAGCAAGTCAGAGAGCAGGGTGACAGAATAACCAAGTATTCAGAAACATAGGGATGCAGGTGGCACTGTGGTCTAAACATCTGAGCCTCTTGGGCTTGCTGATCGGAAGGTCGGTGGTTCAAATCCGCACAACGGTGGTGAGCTCCTGTTGTTCTGTCCCAGCTCCTGCCAACCTAGCAGTTCAAAAGCACACCAGCGTCAGTAGATAAATAGGTACCACTGCAGTGGCAAGGTAAACGGCGTATCCATGCACTCTGGCTTCCATCACGGTGTTCCATTATACCAGAAGTGGTTTAGTCATGCCGGCCACATGACCCAGAAAGCTGCCTGAGGCGAGATGAGCGCCGCACCCCATAGTTGCCTTTGACTGCACTTAGTCATCGCGGGGTCCTTTACCTTTTTGACCTCAGAAACATAACAGATGGTTACCCAAGGAAGGTTCAGCTTGAACTTCTTGTGTAGGCTGCTCTACTTGGGGGCCCCTCAGCACCTCTTCTGTGTTCTCTTCACCTGATTTCTCAACCTCCTCAGTTTCTGTGGATAAGCCCCCAATAATATCACCATACCTTCCACAGTGCCTACTGAATCAGACAAGAGCCCCTTTTGTGAGCACACTCAGAAAGGCAAGACCAATTTGTTTCCTCCAAATGTTTTGGACCACAACTCCCATCATTCCCATAAGGCATGGTCAATGGCCATGAATGATAGGAGCAGTAATCCAAAGTCTCTGGAAGACACCAGGTTTGGGAAGCCTGTTTTAAACTGGATATGGACTGGATATCCTTCACACAGAAGTCTCCCTCACTTTGAGGACTATCGTCTGGCACCCTATGACCACTCTAACTTGAGTTGTGAACTAGATACACAAATATCAGAGACATGATAATTCAACTGATTGTACAGGAACAAAGTAATTCTAAATACAATCACTAGTCTTTGCATGTAAATAGATGGGAGAGATATAAACCATGTTGCTTGATAAACATTGATTGTTGAATTCAGAATCCACATAGGAACTAGGAACTTTGGTGATTTATTTACAATATCACCTACAGCTCCAGATCAAAGCTACTAGCCCAGGCCTGCAGCAGCAGCAGCATTTCACCTGAGGCCTCCTTACACTGTGCTTCATTGAGTGATGAATTATGGAGCTCCAGTGCTCAGTTTCAAGGCATGGATTACTGGTGCAGCCAGCTGGGCTCCTTACACTTAGTCCCACATAGGGTGCAGTAGCATAAACTAGCTTTGTGGTCCTCAAGTAATCACTAGTCCATAAATATTTGTAGAGGCCTGGATATGACAAAGACTGCTCAAAGAGCACCAGTCCAGTGGAAAGTCACTCTGTTGGCTTGCTCCAAGCCAAGGGGAAAGCAAGGGGGCGGTCAGTCCCAGAATTTCTTCCCAGCTTCATAAGCCATGGTGTATTTTGCTTTGCTGAGTGTACTCTGCATAACCTGGAAGAACAGCATAATGTTAACATTATGGCCCAAAGATGATTAACATCCCTGTCTTGATTGTTCTGTTTCAGAGCACAGCACAACCACCCATCTTCTCATATTTGAAATCTGGCAATAGCAAATTATTTTATCATCTGTGGCAACTATTCTTCCCCACTTTTCTTGGGCATTTGCCCAGTCGCCTTTCATTCCCCCCCCCCCCCCCGCTCTGTATTCAGGCTTTACTCCAATATAGATGTTAAAAGAACAGCAAAAGGCAACATTACTGTGTACACATAACCTGCTGTCACTTCCTTTTTCCCTCATAAGGCATTCCTCTTTCACCTCATATGGTCTGCCACCTGCAAATAGGATAATTTACACCAGCAAATAAGGCTGAATGGCAAAGCTATCTTGCATTTTCACATATCTATCTCGTGTCATTCTAAGCTGTGGAACTGAAAGAGGGACAACTCTGGCCTAATCGGACCCTGGTTTATTACCCTGGGTTACTAACCTATAAAATAGGGAAAGGATGTAGCTCAGTGGTAGAGCATTTGCTTTGCATGCAGAATGTCCCAGGTTCAGCCCCTGGCATCTCTTGCTGGGCTGGGTGAGGGCCCTGCATGAAACGCTGGAGAGCCACTGCCAAGTGTGGACACTAAGGCAGCTTCCTCTGTCCCTCTGCCTCCAGAACTCCCTGGTTCAGATGTAATGGGGAACTTTAGCTTAATACAAGTCAGGGAAGTGGGAAAGAGCAGTGCTCAAGCCTATTTGCTTACTTACTTACTACAGTATATTCATATTCTACCTTTTCAGAAATAACCTTCACAAGGCAGCTTACATCAGTTTGATTGACATGCCTCCATTTTTAATTTATGTCTTTGGTTTCGCCCAAGGGTAGGCTGCACCGGCCAATTCAACCATTTCTTTGTATCTGAGAATGTTAATGTCATTTACTCTCTTAAGCCTTTAAAATCCCTGCCTTACGGAGTGCTGTGCAGCATCTGCATCTGCATGCCTGTGATGATGTGGTGGAAAGGACAGGGTGAGTTTTGAGAAGGCGATGCTCACAGTGGTTCAAGGGCACGTTCGCCACAGCTTCCTATCCCCCCCCTTCATCCATAAGGGGGAAGTGATGTGGCATAGTTAGTGTCAATGGTGACTTCCTGTTCCCCACTTCCTTGCTTATGGGGTAGGGAAACGAACAGTGTAGCAACCTTTACTTTCCCCTTAGAACAATGACTCTCATTCCCTCAGGGAAGTACTAATACAATTTCTTGTTGAGAATTTTATTTTTTGACTATTCAGATTGTGTACTTGGTTGCAGTTCCCATCATCTCTGACCATTTGTCAAGATAACTTATAATGATGGGAGCTACAGCCAAAACATCTGGAGGACACTAGGTTGGGGAAGACTAGAGTAGACAATACTGAGCTAGATAAGCATAAGAACATGAGAAGAGCCCTGGTGGCTCGGGCCATAGACCCATCTTGTCCATCAGTCTGTTCTTACAGTGGCTGATCACACGCCTATGGGAAGCTCCTGAAACCAAGTGCAACAGTGCTCTTCCCACTTGTAATTCCAGCAACTGGTATTCAGAGGCAAACTGCCTCTGATAGTGGAGGTAGAACACAGCTATTATGAATGATAGTCATTGATAGGTAGGATGTAGGTAGGATGTACCTACCAAAGTAGGATGTAGCCTACCTTGATTTCAGCAAGGCATTTGACAAGGTGCCCCATGATATTCTTGTAAAGAAGCTGGTAAAATGCGGTCTTGACTATGCTACCACTCAGTGGATTTGTAACTGGCTGACTGACCAAACCCAAAGGGTGCTCATCAATGGTTCCTCTTCATCCTGGAGAAGAGTGACTAGTGGGGTGCCACAGGGTTCTGTCTTGGGCCCGGTCTTATTCAACATCTTTATCAACGACTTGGGTGATGGACTCAAGGGCATCCTGATCAAATTTGCAGATGACACCAAACTGGGAGGGTGGCTAACACCCCAGAGGACAGGATCACACTTCAAAACGACCTTGACAGATTAGAGAACTGGGCCAAAACAAACAAGATGAATTTTAACAGGAGAAATGTAAAGTATTGCACTTGGGCAAAAAAATGAGAGGCACAAATACAAGATGGGTGACACCTGGCTTGAGAGCAGTACATGTGAAAAGGATCTAGGAGTCTTGGTTGACCACAAACTTGACATGAGCCAACAGTGTGACGCGGCAGCTAAAAAGCCAATGCAATTCTGGGCTGCATCAATAGGAGTATAGCATCTAGATCAAGGGAAGTAATAGTGCCACTGTATTCTGCTCTGGTCAGACCTCACCTGGAGTACTGTGTCCAGTTCTGGGCACCACAGTTCAAGAAGGACACTGACCAACTGGAACGTGTCCAGAGGAGGGCAACCAAAATGGTCAAAGGCCTGGAAACGATGCCTTATGAGGAACGGCTAAGGGAGCTGGGCAGGTTTAGCCTGGAGAAGAGGAGGTTAAGGGGTGATATGATAGCCATGTTCAAATATATAAAAGGATGTCACATAGAGGAGGGAGAAAGGTTGTTTTCTGCTGCTCCAGAGAAGCGGACACGGAGCAATGGATCCAAACTACAAGAAAGAAGATTCCACCTAAACGTTAGGAAGAACTTCCTGACAGTAAGAGCTGTTCGACAGTGGAATTTGCTGCCCAGGAGTGTGGTGGAGTCTCCTTCTTTGGAGGTCTTTAAGCAGAGGCTTGACAACCATATGTCAGGAGTGCTCTGATGGTGTTTCCTGCTTGGCAGGGGGTTGGACTCGATGGCCCTTGTGGTCTCTTCCAACTCTATGATTCTATGATAGCCATATCCTCCACAAATTTATCTAATCCTCTTTTAAATCCATGCAATATGGTAGTCATCAGTGTTTCTTGTGGGAGCAAATTCCATAGTTTAACTGTATACTGCAAGAAGAAGATATTTGTTTTGTCTGTCCCAAATCTTTCAACATTCAGCATCATTGGATATCTCCTTGTTCTAGTATTATGAGAGAAGGTGCAAAACTTCTTTCTCTCCACTTTCTCCTCACCATGCTTAATTTTATAGATCTCTATCATGTTCCCTCTTACTAATCTTTCTCAAAACTAAAAAGCCCAACTCTTGTAACCTGTCACAGAGCATGCTGATCAGTAATCACACAGCCCAAAGTTGGTTGTTAGCTCTTCATTAGCAAAAACACAATCTCCACAGACTTGGCTGAGTGTCAGGCCTAATGAGCACAGCAGCTCATTCCTCCATGGAATCAGTTGCCAAGACTGAAGGTCCCCACCTCTCCACAGCTGTCTAGGTCTCCTTCTTTCCAGAGCTTTTCCCAAGCAATCAGAGACTGCACCTATGTGCAGCCAATCTCTCCTCCTTTTCATGCCTCTCCTGGTTCTGGGAAAGAGGGGGCAGGGAGCCTGTCATGGCAGGAGGAAGAGATACCTGTGACTCTTCACTAGCCTGACTTATCTATGCCTCTTGACCTCCCTTTTCTCCTGCTTCAGTTTCTGCCTCTGATTCTGCCCGTAAGCTTCTGACACCTTCAGCTTCTGACACCTCCTCTTCCCAGTCTTCTCCCTCTCTGCCCCAGCTGGATGGGCGGGGTATAAATCAATAATCATCATCACCATCCCACCATCACTACCCTTGGTGGTTTCCCAGCTGGTTTCTCCCACCGCTCTTTGTCCAACCAGTCCTAGTAGGGACTTGTCTCCTTTCCTCATAGGAGAGTTGCTCCAACCTCTTGATCATTTCGGTTGTCCTTTTCTGATTCTTTTTCAGGTGAGGCACTGAGAACTGTGCACAGTATTCCAAGTGTAGTTACACCATTGATTTCTAAAATAGTAAGAAGAGTATTGTGATAGTGCAAGTTTTATTTTCATTCCCTTTCCTAATGATTACTAGCATGAAATTTGCCTTTTTATAGTGGCTGCACACACTCCAGATTATTTATGAACATGTTTAAAATTATATATCCCAATGCTGATGCTTGGGAGACTCCACTGTGAGAACAGTTCATTTATTCCTAGTCTCTGCTTCCTGTTTTCAACCAGTTAAAGGTAAAGGTAAAGGTAAAGGTACCCCCTGACCGTTAGGTCCAGTTGCGGATGACTCTGGGGTTGTGTGCTCATCTCGCTCTATAGGCCAAGGGAGCCAGTGTTTGTCCGCAGACAGCTTCCACATCATGTAGCCAGCATGACTAAGCCGCTTCTGGTGAAACCAGAGCAGCGCATGGAAACGCCGTTTACCTTCCCACCGTAGCAGTACCTATTTATCTACTTGCACTTTGACGTGCTTTTGAACTGCTAGGTGGTCAGGAGCTGGGACCGAACAACGGGAGCTCACCCCGTCACGGGGATTCAAACTGACAACCTTCTGATCGGCAAGCCCTAGGCCAGGGGTAAGCAACCTTTTTTAGCTGTGGGCCGGTCCACTGTCCCTCAGACCATGTGGTGGGCCGGACTATATTTTTTTTTGGGGGGGGTGAACGAATTCCTATGCCCCACAAATAACCCAGAGATGCATTTTAAATAAAAGGACACATTCTACTCATGTAAAAATATGCTAATTCCCGGACCATCCGTAGGCTGGATTGAGAAGGCGATTGGGTCGCATTCAGCCCATGGGCCTCAGGTTCCCTACCCCTGTCCTAGGCTCTGTGGTTTAGACCACAGCGCCACCCGTGTTCCTCTTCAACCAGTTACTGATCCATAAAAGGATCTTTCCGCTTATTCCATGTCTATTAAGCTTCCTTGGTGCGATACTTTGTCAAAAGCTTTTTGAAAGTTTGAATACACAATGCCATCTGGATCAGCTCTCTTTAAATGCTTGTTGACACTCTCAAAGAATTCTAAAAGTTTATTGAGGCAGGGCAATTGGACAGTCTGTCTTCTGATATAAGGCAGATTCCTATGATGTGGGGTATTACCCTAAGTTATATCAGTGGATCCCCTTCATGGATCACTGCCTTGCCGTGGCAAACGGACTTGAATAACTCAGAGAAGCTATGAGCTATGCCATGCAGGGCCACCCAAGATGGGCAGGTCATAGTGGAGAGTTTTGACCAAACATGATCCACCTGGAGCAGGAACCGGCAAGCCACTCCAGTATCCCTGCCAAGAAAACTCCATGGACAAAGACAACAGGCATATAAAAGTTATGACACTGGAAGGTGAGCCTCTCAGGTCGGAAGGCGTCCAACATGCTACTGAGGAAGAGCGGAGGACAAGTAGACTCAGAGCTGATGAAGCAGCTGGGCCAAAGCCAAAAGGTCGCTCAGTTGCGGATACGCCTGGAAGCGAAAGGAAAGTCCAATGCTATAAAGAAAAATATTGCGTAGGAACCTGGAATGTAAGAACCATGAACCTTGGTAAGTTGGATGTGGTCAAAAATGAGATGGCAATAATAAATATTGATGGGAATGGGTGAATTCAGTTCGGATGACCATCATATCTACTACTGTGGGCAAGAATCCTGTAAAAGAAATGGAGCGGCCCTCATAGTCAACAAAAGAGTGGCGAAAGCTGTACTGGGATGCAATCTCAAAAATGATAGAATGATCTTGATACGAATCCAAGG